TGTTTTTTTTAATTATAAAATATTTAATTAATAATATATTATAAAAATAAAAAATGTTATACTATATTAATTTAGTAAATAAATACTAATTAAAATTACATTATAAGATTAAAATATTTTATGATGTTTTAATATAATAATTAAATAAAATTTATAAATATACCATAATAATAAATAAAAATTATTGTATTAATTTATTACAACAATAAAATATATTAAACAATAATACGTGTTACATATATATTTGATCAAAAATGGCCCTCAGTTCCACACCTAGTGGTCCTTCTCTGTCGATATCCTCTACCCCAAACGCTCATTTGCATTTGTAGGTGATTGAGATGAGTCGAAAGACATGCCTTCATTGTGATGTGTTGTAGAGGGTCTACCGGCCTTGAAGAGGGTCTTGGTTGCTCATCGAGAATATCATCAATGTTGAAATCTGGCGTTTGCATCAGTTGCTCCTCTGTCAGCAAAAAATTTGGAATGATTGTGATGGTTGCGGTGGTTGTGGGTAGGTTTCAGGTTGGGTTTGTTGGAGGGTTGGGTAGTAGACGTCATCAGGCGTGAAGGTGGAGGTGGGTTGAGAGAATGAAGTGTTGAAGTTTTGATATTGGAAATGAGGGTTTGTCTGATCAAAGTTGGGCAGTGGGACTGGAGTGAACTGTATGGGTAGTCGGAGGTAGGGTTGATATTGTTGGTTGTAGTTGTGGTGATAGTTATAGTTTTGTTGAGGGAGTGGATTGTAGGGTGTTTGTTGTCGGTATGTATGCTGAGCTGACGAAGATGCGTGCCCCCCAAATTGAGATGTGTAGGTTGGTGGCACATCCTGATGCATTGATGCGGCAGTTGGTTGTGTTGATGATGATCCTTGCATGCGTGGGTCGGTCAAAAATTGGTCTGGAGCAATATTCACATAAGGAATGGCACGAAACCAAGTTAAATACTCTTGGTTTGGCTTGCATTCACCAAACACAGCGTCCCCCTGCAAAATCACATGTCTTATATGTTTCCATTCTCTCACCTCCTCCTTGTTTAACTCTCGCCAATGAACTTTTTGGGCTTTTCTCATTGTCATTGTGTGGTGTTCCCTTAGACACCTTGACGGGGGAGGGATTTGTTGTTCAAATCCAAACTGGAGTTTTACCTTATCCGTTTGATGCATTTCAACGGTATAGAAACAAATAAGAAAAGTTGTAGCACTCCAGATTTGGTTATCTCTAAGATTGGGCACCGGATATTGAATGTACGGCCTCCATATAAACTGCCACATAAAAAAGAAAATTATGATACCATTAAGGAGTATAACCAACAACTATGTTCTATGGTCTCAAACTTACATCTTTTTCTTGCATATGGTCCAATGCATTTCGATATCCTTGTAGACGAAAACGAGGATTAGCCTCGTAATTCATCCGTCTTTGCGCCCATCTTGCATAAACAAAAAAATATATAATATTGTTAGGCATAGTTGAATAATATATATATATATATATATATATATATATATATATATATATATATATATATATATATATATATATATATATATATGGATATATATGGGTTTTTAATATAGAAATACCTTTGTGCGTATGGATATGAAGGTTGCATTGTACTAACAGGAGCAAACAATGGTATACGTGTGAATGCCCAAGAAGTCAGTAGAAGAACACAATCACTCATGCTCCTAACATCCTTTACTGCTGCCTTGCACATTTTCCTATACAGTTTTACAAGACATGCAGAACCCCAACTAAAGGTGCCGCATTTTTCAAGATCCCCTACGAAAGGAATCCAGGAAGAATGCAATAGATTTTGACTCTTGTCGGGAAACAAAATAGTGGCGATTACAAGTAAAATATAAACTTTAGCTTGTAACACAATTTCTTGTTGTGTGGGAGCAGAGTTATTTTTTAAAATTTTCATATAAATTTTCTAGCTAGGTGATCCTAACAGAACCTCTGTTTTTATCCGCTTTTGTAGGTTCCACCCCCAAGCTTTCCATGTAAACATCATTTGTTACTTCGGTAGGATCGTTGATAGCTTTTCCATCAACTAGAGACCAAGTAACATATTCGCATCTTCAAGCGTTATTGTGCATTCACCTGTTGGGAAGTGAAAAGTGTGCCTCTCTGGTTTCCATTTCTCCAACAGAGCCACAACTAAGCTTGAGTCGATTTTGAGACTATTTGTTTTTGATATCTGAGCAAAACCTGCTATTTTTAGATACTCCATTATTCTCGCACTCGCTTGAATGGGAGCATGAGAATGCACTCTAAACCTTGGGGCATTAGTCTGCAAAGATATTGAACCAACAAAATGTAATCATTATTTTTTATATGAAATAATATTTAACCAAGCAACTATAGGCATTATTTTTGAATGCACTCGAATAGAGAAAAACTTACACTAACTTGAATATTTTGTTGTGTTCCACGGTGTTCATCGCCCATCCACAACAATGCCATTTTGATTGAGTATTAGGAATTTGTAAGAAATGCAAGAGAGTAGTTGATGTTTTAATGCTTTGTGTTTAGAAATGCAAGAGAGTAGTTGATGTTAAAATTGTGTGTAGAAATTTGGTTGTGTTAAATCCGAATTTATAGAAACTTGGTAGTGTAAATGTGACTGCATGAAGTGACAATTGCATGGCCTTGGTAATATATATTAGGTCTTACACATTTGCATGCATGCAAGGCTAAATAGAATAGGTCTTACACCATGTCTTGTGCATGCAAGACAATTTTTTCAGCAAGCATCACACACTCGTCCATTGAGTGAACGAATTCACAAAGCACAAGAGTGTGCTCGTCAGGCCTACACGTGAGCATGCTAGCCCTTTGAGTGGGAGAGCTCAAAAGGCCATTTTTCCACTCTTCATTTTATGCATGTCTTATATAATTGTGTGTATCCTATTATTTGTATCATACCTCCAAATTTCACTAAGAAGAACATATATTTTACACTCCAAAATGTCTCAGAAATATAATCTTCACGTGCCACTTCAATGGTGTTGTTTCAACGAATAGCATTGTTGGCTTCTCATTCAGCAACACTGATACCTACGCCTTCAAAATTCATGTCAATTCTGATTTTTTTTCCATTTCAAAGATAGAATGGAAAAAAAATTAGCACGGTGCGTTGAGGAGATAATTTATCGTCATCTTATACTTAACGAAGACAACTGTACAATTTTTTACATAATGACGCCGATCAGGAACGACGAAGACGTGGAGGCGATGTTTCGGTGCCACATGATGTTTGGTCAGTTACCTACAATTGAGTTGTATATCCGACTACTAGACAATCCCAAAACATTTCCAACACAAGAGACACAGTCACACTGGTATGGAATGAGCCAAACATCCGACGACGAACCAACACAAAACAATCTACCTTTCATACCAAATGAAGAGGTCGGCGAAGCAAGCGATGACGATCTTCAGGAGGTCAGGATGCAAGATATTTTTGGTGACAGCAATGACGAAGACAATGAAGATATAGTTGTCGCGTCTACGCAGCTGATTTGCGCACAACCCATAAGTTTGTACAACTAACCTGCACATATGCAAAATATATGTTTCGAACAAGATGAGACAACCTCCGTGTTTGGAAGTGTCACTCCAAACCATATAGGTGAAGAAATAGAGATTGGGATGGAGTTTGAAAACAAGGAAGCTTGCATCCTCGCTCTGCAACATTGGCACATAACAACAATGTTGACTATTGGGTTTATCAATCTGACAGTGAACGATATGTAATTAAGTGTAAGAAACAAGACTGCAGTTTCAAGTGCAGAGCTTCCTTGAGAAAAAGGAACTCAAAATGGATGATCGGTAAGCTGTTTGGGTCTCACACATGCACTACGACGTCTACGACACAAGACCATAGGAAGCTCAGTTCAGAAATGGTTAGCCATAGTATCAGAGAACTTGTCAACCGAGGCGCCTCACTTAAGGTAAAGGTGATCATTGCCCATATTCTTGAAAAATACAGGTACATAATATCTTACAGGAAAGCATGGATCGCTAAGTGCAAGGCCATAGAGTCGCTATATGGCAATTGGGAAACATCTTACAATGACTTGCCACAGTGGATACTGGTAATGAAAACCTTCCTTCCATGGACCATTATAGATTTGCAAACCCTGCCTGCAATTTCAAATGATGGTTCCTAAATCTCTGGAAAACGAATATTCCATCATCTGTTTTGGGCATTTCGTCCGTGTATACATGGCTTCGCCTATTGTAAGCCCATTGTGCAAGTAGACGGAACTTGGTTGTATGGCAAGTATAGAGGAACTCTGTTGATGGCGGTGGCACAGGATTGTAACGCAAATATTTTCTCAATAGCATTCGCATTGGTCGAAGGTGAAACAAAGGAAGCATGGAGCTTTTTTCTAAGAACCTGAGATTACACGTGACACCACAACCTAATTTGTGCCTAATCTTTGATAGACATGAATCGATAAAGAGTGCATATAACAATCTCAAAAACGGATGACAACATCCACCATCTTCACATATCTACTGCATTAGACACATTGCTCAGAACTTCATGCGCGAGATTAAGGACAAGGATCTACGCAAAAAGCTTGTTAATATGGGTAACAAAACACATTTCACTTATCTCAAGTTTTGTATCACACTTTTATTATGTTTTCACATAGTTTCTTTTACAGGTTACGCATGACAGAGGCTACATTTAACTACTATCGCGGAGAAATCAGAAGAACAAACATTGAGGCTTCAAGTTAGATAGACAACATTCCTAGGGAAAAGTGGGCTAGAGCATTTGACGGAGGGCAATGTTGGGGACATATGACATCTAACTTGACAGAGGCCATAAACTCTGTACTAAAGGTAACCAGAAATCTTCCAATCACTGCTTTGGTCCAGTATACATATTATCGAATGGTTTCACTCTTTGGTAAACGAGGACACAAATGGACCAAAATTCTATCTACAGGGAAAGTTTTCACAGATGGTTCTAACTAGGGAATGGCTGATGAGGTAGTCAAGGCTAACACACACAATGTCATGCAATTTGATCGCGAAAGATTATGTTTCATGGTGCAGAAAAAAATTAATCAACACGATGGTCGTCCAACGGGTACTTACAGCATTGACCTGAGGAATCGTTCGTGTGACTGTGGAAAATTTCAAGCATTTCACTTGCCTTGCTCCCACGTGATCGCGACATGTTCTAGCATACAACAAGACTACACAATTCACATTCCAGAGGTCTTCACAGGACTCAACGTATTCAAAGTCTACAAAGAAAGCTTCTTGAGACTACCGCACGAGGAGAACTGGCCAAAATATGAAGGTTTTACTCTATGCCACGACGATTCCATGAGAACAAAGAAAAAGGGACGTCCAACTAGTAGTAGAATTAGAACTGAGATGGACGACGCTGAAAAAGAAAAAAGGTGTGGGATTTGCAGAGAAATAGGTCATATGCGTAGAAAATGTCCTAATGTTGTCGGTCCGTCAAACCGACCACATAGATAATTTTATATATTTTGCTCGCACTAGTTTTGTATGTGATCCAACATTTATTTTTAATTCAAGACAACTTTCAAATTACAACAATACTAGCAAATTACAACCATAAAGTTAAAAATAAAACTCAGGAAGCTAACATTCACGCTAACCAACAACAACAACCAACACAAGTGGATCTGTGACTCCTCTGTTAACTTCGCCACTATGTGCTGAAAATATGCAATAGACATCTTCATCATTTTCTATACGATCTAAGTAATACATGTACGTACCCTCCGGGCTAGCATCCGTCGGCGTTATATACGGACAACGATACTCCATTTTTCTCACTGCCATGCGACGACCGCCCAACTGTCGAAACTCCGTGTTAATTGTTGCAACCACGGTTCTGAAATTCCACTGCGGATCTAGGTAAACACTTATTTTTTTTCTTGTCCATAGAAAACAAGAGCTCGAACAGACATTTTTATAACACGGTCACTGGACACGAATGATATATGCTGATGCGCAATACGTCTATTTATTAAAAAAAAAAGTTACATTTAGCTCGGTCATTCAATGACCGAGACTCTGTATAAATTTCACACCTCCATGTACGAACATCAATCATTATTTTTTAATACATGACAGAAAGAAAAATTATATACATTCACATTATTTTTCCATTTAATATAACATAATATAATTAAATTAATTTAATATAACATAATATATAATTAAATTAATTTAATATAATATAATACATAATTCAATTAATTTAATATAACATAATATAATTAAATTAATTTAATATAACATAATACATAATTAAATTAATTTAATATAACAAAATACATAATTAAATTAATTTAACATAACATAATATATAGTTAACTTAATTTAATATAACATAATACATAATTAAATTAATTTAATATAACATAATATATAATTAAATTAAAAGTAATATAATTAAATAAAATAAATAAAAAAATTATTAGTATTTTATAATTAATATTTTAATTAGTATTTATTTAAAATTATTAAATAATTCAGTAAATAAATAAAACAAGTTTTAAAAAAAAATTACACCCCCTTCACTTGCTCGTCCACTCATTGGACGAGCACATGCACGGCAAAAAAATCATCACACACTCGCCAACTCATTGGACGAGTATGTATTACATGTGGGACACTTCTATCATTTTTTTTTAAAGTAAGACATAAAGATATATTTGATTTCAGAATGGGACACTTGTGTAAAAAAAACCTATAAATTTAAACAAACCCTACACATTATAATAAGTGACGGAGTCGATACCAAGTTTTAGAACAATCAGACTAATTCAACTTTAGGTGAATCTCATACCAATTATTATTTGAGCTAAATCATTTGATTTTTTTTTAAGAGTAATTGATGCACAGTTTGTAGGCATAACTATTGCTGCAAATGGGAGAAACAATGGGATGGAGAATAAGTAGGAGAAGTTGCTAAAAATAGTAATTTGTCATTAATGATTAATAATAGATTACTGACTTATGCACAATGAAGAATATAACTTGTGGGATATATTGTCATTTTTGCCAACTAATACAAACTTAATAAAATCAACAACTTATGTCAATCAAGTCAGGCCACTATAATCTATGCATTGTATCTCTCCTATCCTTCAACATATGATGAAAACTCGACATCATAACCCTAGCTTTCATACGTACACTATACGTATTTTTTGTCTTCTAGCTATGTAGACACGTTCTCATTTATGTGAGGGGCTTCATGTGTCAGGTTGATATATAATGTGTGTGTCCTTTATTCTTTTTGTCTCAAATAAGGAATTAAAGACTTCACAATGGACAAAATGGGACATGATAATTACTGTATTATTTTGTTACACTTTCACATGGTAGTGTGTATGCATTATTAAAATTTACATAAATATTTATGACGTTAAGACAACTCAATTGTTAATTGTAACCACGGCATTCCAATTATTAAACTTGATAAAAGAAATCAACATACTATATATATTTTTACCAAAAAAATCTACAATGATGAATAAGCTTCAAATACATTTAATTTCCAACTAAAAACCCCATACATCATGCATTATTGAGGTTACTAAAAACATAAGATACAAATTAACTTCAAACTCAGAAAAAGGAGAAGCCTGTAATAAGTAACTTTACGCACACTAGTCTCTGTTTGATCCTACATATCTTGATTATTTCACTATATTCAGAAAAAAAATTCAGCTATATGCAATTATGTTACTTGGTTCATGACTTTAAATACCTAATAAATTAGGTGCAATCCAGCTTAAGATGTATCTTCCCACATCATATATATTTGTTTTGTGGAGATAAAGATCATATGATCTATGATAGAGAATTTTTAATAATTATTAGTTATATATTTAATTAGTATTTTAATATATTAGTTAATATTATATTTTAGAACTTTTTTAATACTTAACATTGTATCACATCACATGGATAGTAATGATACATTTTGAGTTTTATATATTAAATATAATGAGTTATTTAGATAATCAATCAATGAAATTAAATGTTATTTTTTATTATCTTTATCTTTATATTTAGTGTAATGAGTTATTTAGGACATTCTGGTGGACTGCAAATTTAAAAAATCAGTCCAGACAAAAATTAGGAAAAGCAAAAAAAACGAAAAAGAAAAAGAAAGGATCAAAAGAAAAGTATCCTCAACAAGAACAGATTTGTGTGACTACAAATAATGGGTGATTGTCACTCCAAAACCTCATTGGTTCCTTAACCATCACTTGTACTATTCAAAATCCTTTTGAAAAATGAACACTTATGTTAAACTAACTGAACGTAGGACTGGATAACATCAAGGAGAACGTGTGGGTTAAAATAAAATTTTGAGTCTTAAATCCTTTTATTCAAAAACTGTGAATCAGGCCATGTTACAACATTCAAAAGACCTAATTGAAGCATGGTTTAATTCGAAAGCATACAACAGCAAGATCGCGTTAAAAATAACTTCTAAAGATTTTCTTATCATTTTTGTTGGTATCGAAATGACATTTTTTGACTAGTGAAAATTGAATAGTACAACATCATTTTTCATTGAAAATAACTTGGATTTCAAAACTAGCATAAGCATGACATTAGAATTATCATCTTCAAAGTGAACAATTTTATTCGCGAATAAGCACTTGACATCAAGAAAGTTTCCTTAATGAGTATCAATTGAAAAGTTTGATCATACTAAGGGAAAAATGTCTAAGGGCTCCGTTGAGCATAGGCACGTCACTTTAAATGATCACACCAAGGGGGAAAATTCCTGAAAACTCCGTTGAGCAAAAAAAAAAAAGTCGCTTCAAGATTCTATCAATCTGGGACAATCACATCGAGATTCGACAAATCTCTCTAAGAATCAGTTAATTAGGGGCACTACTCCAAGGTTCAAAATACTGGGGCAAAGCAACTCAAGTCATTATGGTACAAATGTTCCAGATTTTCTTTCAAGGAAAATTCCTTCAAAGATCCTACAAACTAGAGCAAGAGTGGCTATAGAGAGGCATTTCTTCTCCATACTTTCAACGCTGCTCAAGCAAGTTCTATCGTGTATAATAAAATGCTAAGTTTAAGACGAATGTCAGAAAGTCATGGTAAGCACATCCCATGACTTTTCAAAAAAAATTCTTGTAGCCAAGTAATATACTTCCCTGTTTCAACCATACATGACCCACCTTAGGGGAACTTTTTGAACCTTTGAAACCATTACATAGATCATCACAATGCATTAATCATGTCAATTTGCTCATGCATATCATTCATCTGACATAGCATGAAGTCTAGTAAAACAAACAAAAAAAGCAGAAGCTCAATCATACTTGCCACCTCCATAAAGCCCAACCACACTTGGCCTCCTTTAAAGCAAGTAGGATTGGGCTTCAAAATAAATTACACCTCTACCTTTACAAACTGGAACAATGTGATCAACATGCCATGCATTTCCTTTACTTGGATCTTTGGCAAGCCTCTCAAGCCTGCATATAATCAACTAGTGTTTCAAAAAAATGCTTCAGAAATAAGAAAATTTATTAACACTTTTGTATAGTCATTCTTTTTAAAAGGTTGTAATGTTACAAGTCTTTATTGTTATTTTCTAACATCATACCAAAATTGACTTTAGGTATTTCACATATTGTATACTCACATCTTCCTTCGCATTGCAATATTTAGTGTTGATTTTTCAATATACCCTAACCGTTTTCAATGGACAAAGGTCTTATGTGCACAACAAGCTTAAGAGATTCCAATTGGCCATTTGTGCATACACCTTGGTCATGATTTTTCATAAAGTTGTTGTGGCCTTGCATTTTTACCCAATATAGTCTCTAGTTTCTAATATAGTCTCTAATTTCTACAATTATCCTTTATGAACCCCTCAAGATTAAAGTAAACCATTACATTACTCTCATCCAGAGTCAAACTTTAAAATTGTCCACAACATAAGAAAATCATATACTTTATCTAAAATAAATATAAAAGTCAACGTAACTAAAGCTAAAGATCATCATCGCTCATATTTAAGTTTTCACTATCATCATCTCCTTTATTATCTTCACCAATATAATTACTTTCATCCCCATCACTGCAAACCTCGAAAAACACATTGTTTCAAGCCAAAAAACCCATATTGTTTGTCGTACCCCAAATTATGTCCACCCTTCATATGTTTTCTAGTACCACTTTATTTCCAATGAGTGAAATAGAACAATTGGTAAGAGAACATGTGTAAGAAATTGTGAGAGTGAGGGGTCATGAGTTTGAATTCCTTTAATTCTAACTTTTTGCATTATTTTCAAATCAAAAAAATTGTATTTTTTTATTATTTAAATCTTATTTTCGTTTTTCTATTTTAGGCATTCTTTAATTCTAATTTTTTTTAATATGTGAAATACCTAAAGTCAATTTTTCTTATGATGTTAGAAAATAACAATAAGGACTTGTAACATTACAGCCTTTTAAAAAGA